TTTTTTTTTTATATTTATTTATAATTATTTTCAGATTTATTTATATTAACATTTTAGAGGAAATATGATAAATGAGAAAACCTGTAAGTATTTATTTCGATAATCCTCCAACTGAGCGGCTTGGTCTTGAATCAAGGATCGCAATTCTTCAAGCTCGTCTTGGGCTTCTCGAAAACGTTGCTTAAAGACAATCAACGTTTGCTCTTGCTCGACCATTTGCTCCTTAAAACCTAATGTTTAATTAATTGTACTGTATAATTAATTATATTCGAAATGAAAAGCATTCCAATAAACAATCACCTTCGTATTTTTCTTTTTCAGCTTCCATTGCCTTCAAACGTTCTTGAACATCTACAAGCTTAATTTCTAATTTTTCTTTCTCTTCAATAGCTTCACGCGTTTGTTGTTTCAGTTTATCAGCATCTGTTCTTAAACACGAAACCTCGCATAATTTGTTTTTGTAATCATCTTGTAGACGTGCGTATTGTTCGCGTAGGTCACGTAACTGTTGCTGAGGACACGTGCTAGCGCCCTTTTTTAAATAGCTGCTTTAGTTCATGTTAAATCTTTTACTGAAGTTCAATCTTACCATAGGAGCATTTACGCAAGGACCAGTGCAGGTTGCAGAAGGAGCAGGTGGTATCTACGTACGACGAAAAACGATCTCATATGATATGTAGTATATCAACAAAAATAAAATATCTGAAACTTTTCGGGAAATATGTTTATTTCGTGTAACATTATTCGTGACACATTCAACAATTTTATCGACATACGACATTTTATCCTCGAACGAGTGACAACATTTACAATCAAGTTATTCGAAATATTGAATGGATACCTTAGGAAGAGGTATAGAAGGCGGCTGTACAACTGGTACAGGAGGTACGTATGCAGGGGATCCGTTTGGTGTCTGAAGAGTCAAAGGTGAAGGAGGACAGCAACCACAAGGTGCGCAAGGACCAGTACATTTCAGTAATTTTCGCTGTTGTTCTAATTGTTGACGTTCTCGTTGAACATTGGCAAGCTCTATTTGCATATTGCGCACTTCGCATTCCATGCTACCCAATTGTTGCTCCTATAAAATATACCAATAAATAAGCATAGAAATTGACTTGAAGTTACATTATACATATGTCGAAGATGTACTAGCTGTTTGGTACTGTTCCCATAAGCTGCAAGTTTGTTCTCTATTTCTGCAGGACAAGTCCCCCTTGGAGGAGGTGGTGGTCCTGTACACGGTGTTTTAACTGTGGCGGGACTTCGGCAACACATGTCGATTTGAGAAGAAGCACCACTTGTAACGCAAACACCTGTTATTGACGCGCCACCCGCGAGTCTTGGTGAATCTAATAAAATAATAATACTTATTAATTTTTCAATTAATACACAAAATATATATATTTTTTATTGTAATAAACATAGCTCACCTCCGCTAGGTAAATATGTATGACTCAGCTTCACTGTAATACGTTAAATTTCATCATACTGAATTTGAAAAAACTTATAAAAAGAAAATCTTAAGAAGTTTGTTGAGACACGTACCGCATACAGTATTTGGTGACAAAGTATCAGCTGTTTGAGGTTGGACACAACACTTGCATCGACAATAATCGTCGTCTTGCTGTAACGTATTGGTGTACGAAATTGAACGTAGAGGAGACGGACTTGATACTTCAGACGAAATTCCACCTGGACAACAAGGTGTGTAACAAGGACTAGTGATTCGTTGATTCAAGCAAGCTAATTGACGTGTCAGTTCCACATTTTCCTTCATGACTATTCTCATTTCAGCCTGTAGCCCGCATACCTTCCTCTGAAGACTCTCAACAGCGGTATCTTTTTCTAGCAATGCTTCTTCTAATTTGTATCTAACATATCAATAAGTTAATTTTTGTAACAAAGACAAGATCACATGGTTCATTCTAACATATTTCTATTAACAACAATCTATGCAATCGTCGTTAAGGAAACTGATTAGTTTTCACATATTTTAATCGATTTTCTACTTTTTTTTTTTATATCGAAAAACGATAGACCATTTATGAATTGCGTATGTAATTGTCGTGTGAAATGAAGTTATTTCACAAAACTTACTTGCCACCTTCAAGCTGTGCATTCTCTAATACCAATTTTTCCTGCATGGTCAACGATTCTGTTAACTTTCCTGTCAAACTCTGAAGACATCTGTCTTTTCCTTTCTTTTTACTATCTGCCACAACAATTTTTGGAATTTCATCTTCCGTATTTCCACAGACAATTACTCTTGGAAGTCTGATTGAACAACGAAATAAATTTCAAAAACGTATTCTAATGAAATAAATGACGTTATATAACATACTTGTCTTCTGGATATTCTATCTGAGGCAAGTCGAAACGTTCTCTAAGCTTTTCTATTTCTACATCCGTCTTTTTATCTATCATATCTACCTTTTCTCTTATTATTTCAAGTTCTTCCTCCTCGGCAATGATCTATAAATTATTTTTTTCATACACTTCACCGCGCTACTTGCTTCGATGATCGATAGAAGATACTTACGGCACTAGGTTTCATAATGGGTTGCATATCAAACATCTTAGCAAAAGTAGTGCTCGAGATGTCAGACAAACCTAGTAGTCGTTGTAGCTTCCGGGTTATCTGTTCGAATTCTGTCAGCTTTCTCATCACTTCGTCCTGCTTCTCATGTATTATTAACGTATCTTCATCGGTTAAATCTTTTTTCTGTAATATACAGCAATTTCGTTTAAATCTTGGTATTTCATACTTTAAACATCAACTTTCAGCGTTTTGAATTTCAAATTTCATTTTAGCTTATTTCCCCTAAAATCATTACAATTGTAAGCGTAGCTATTTCTTGCTTCAGCTGTTCAATTTCTTTTGCAAGCACAATGCAACGATCGTCCGCTTTCTTCATTTCCATCATTACAGCGCTATCAGTCAAAGGAGATGAACTTAATATCGATTCATTTCGTCCACCAGGTTTAATAGGCGTACCTGAATGTATAAATTTTTTAGAAATTTGTATTTGAAAAATTTTTTTAAATTATTACTGTATCTTTTCCTATGTTTTTGTTTCCTGAATTTATGATATTATACCTTCGCCAACACCAGGAGGAAGCGGATATGATGGAGGCCATTCTTCCTTATCTTCGGTCGCCGATTTTACTACCGGTTCCGACACTGTTACAGATTCTATTTCTTCCTTCTCTTTTGGTGGCTCTTCGACTTCGACATCTTCTTCGACATTTTCGTCGGGAACTTCTTGTATATCTGCATCTTCGTCAGCCATGCTTTATAATCGAATAAATTTATTATTAGACAATATATAACATTAGCAAGATGCCCTCGAAAATAAAATATACTTTTTTTCTGGTTCTTTCTCTTCTTGATCCAAATTTTCAATTTCTTTTAACGTTTTCAATGTTTCAAAATTCGATTCTTGCTTAATTTCCTCCGGTGTACTATTAAAATCATCTGTCTCGTAAGTCTGTGCAAATTATTTTGAATTAACATAACAATCTATTTATTTTTATATGAGCTAGTGAATATAACTGAGAAATTGTTTATTAACTGTTGCATAATTTAAATACAAATAATACCAAAATCACACCCGTTCAAGAATGTGCGGTTCAAGATCCACTTGTTGCAAAGAAAGCAATTTTAAGAAAGTCTCAGAATTCTTTGGATCTTTCGATTTAAAAGGTACTATGTGACCCTCTTGATGATACTCGATCGTCAACGAGCATACGTCCGGCAAATTTAAAGGTTTTTTCAAATCGAACAAAGATTCTAACGATCCAAACGCATCTCTCTTCAATGAAGGTTGTTCCCTATATTTCGCACTCTTTTTGTGCGATTTCGAGCTACCTCGTTTCAAACGCTTCAAATCATGAAAACTTTTGACTTTAACAGGAATACTGTCGAACTCACGAGTACGAAGAGACGTCGGTAAATTTGCTGGAGAACTAGATGTATTCCATGTACACGGTCTCCGTTTCTGAAGCAATAAAATTATATTTTATAATATTTGTGAAATGTAATTAAATTGATATAAATCTCTTTCTTTATCAAATATATCCCACGCGAATAAATGATTCTTCAAAGTTAGAGATAATTGCAAATTTTATTAAAAATTTAACCAATATTTTACCTTCATTATTTTACCTTCGATATAATACCGTTGCTTTGCTTAATAACACAAGGTCTTTACTGTACTATCGTAAACTCAAGAATAATGATCCTTTTCTTCCGTTTATTCGTTAAAGAAACGGTATCGCTATCAAATCACGTCGAACGATTTCTCGATTTTTGTTTCAAAATTATCTTTTTTATATAATTTTTTATATAATTTTTATAGGTCTATAAATCGAAATATACATGGTATATTAGTATAACAATCAATTGGTAAATTTGTCGAAATTAAAAAGAAAATAAATAAAACTTTATCAAAATATGCAAATGACACTTACTCGAGAGAACCTTCAATTTCTTACACATAAATGTGAAGCATGCGTCTTTTATTTTTATGTTGACATATTTGAACTTATCAACTTTATCCAAGTCATAGTTGTAGTTGTATAAAAGAAGTTGTAATTATTGAAACTAAATAACATTTAAACATGTTCTTCTGTTTTCATATATTATGTAATAATACTGATATTAATAAATAATATAAAATGAAAATATTATTGATTTAATCGTGTTGAAGGAAGTAATGTTTTCAAATTAAAGATGTCAAAAAAATTACCGATATCGTGAATATGAATAGAAAATACAAAATCTTTTATTTATTATATATTAAACTGCTTGTAATAATTAATGTAATAAAGAGAAGTAAATAATAATAATTGCTCTAGAATAGATGTAACTCATATTTTTGTCGATATGACAATACATTACACGATTTAGCATCTTTTAAAAATTGGGATGACACCTTTCACAAATAAGTGAAAACGTTTACGAAGTAATATCAGATTACGACATATATAATTAAGAAAAATCATCTATTACTTAACACTGTAAGTAACATAATTTTAGAATCACTTAGTATATATTATTTTGATAACAATATATTTCCTTGAAAAAGGTCACAAAAGTCTGTTGTATACAAACAAATGTATTGCCATATTTGATTTATTATGTCTGTTGACAAAGAATATAAATAACATTTTTAATTGTGAGAATTTCTAGTCACTTGTAGTAAAATATATATTCATAAGACATATTCATAGATAAATTCTGATTTTCGTAAAATGGAGGTTATGGATTACTGTAAGTGTACAGCATGTGTACAACAGAAACACAATATTTTATAAGTTATGTTAAATAGAAATATATACATATATGATTAAATATAAAAATTATGAAAATGCTTTTATATTTTCTACATTATAAAGAGTATATACATTATAAACCACTTTTTATGTTATCAATTAAAGAATAAAGAAATATGTATGCATATTCTGTACATACAATTTCAATTATAATTATTTACAATTTTGATAAAATATTACAGCAGAAGAAATACAAATGGAAGATGTAGTAGAAGTAGAAGAATCTGATAATGATAATGCTGACAACTCAGAAAATGAAGCTCAAACGAGAGATACAAGTAAGTTTATTTTAACTTTTGTTAAATGTTTTATTACATGTCATAGATTCAGAAAATAATATGCATGTGATATTTTAGAAGATAATGATGAAGATGAAATAAAAGCAAAAAAAGCAAAAGAAACAACTTTAGACAATTCTGATGTTGATTCTGATCAGTCTTGTCCAATATGCATGGATTTATGGACTAGTTCAGGAGATCATCGTTTATGTTGCTTAAAATGTGGACATTTGTTTGGACATAGTTGCATTTTAAAATGGTTGCAGACTTCTTGTACTAGTGCAAATCGCCGGTGCCCACAATGCAATAGGAAAGCTGCTGTAAAAGATATCAGAATGTTATATGCCAAAAAATTGACTTCAATAGATACTGCAGAATTAGATAAATTAAAAGAACAATTAAATAGTGTTAATTCAGAAAAAAATCGTATAGAAATGGAACTTTCAAAATCTACTTTAAGACAAAAATTATTTGAACAACAAATTGCTGCCATGAAAAATCGGATATCTGAGCTAGAGAGTCAGCAATCAGAAATAACTATTCATTCAAGCCAAAATATATCTAAACATATGATTAAAAAGTTCCATTTAGATCGATCTATAGAAATATGTAAGGATGGTGGTTGCCGTGTATTAGATTATAACCCGTGGTGTGGATTTTTGGTTGTATCACAGAAATCAACAAATACTTTATTCTCAGGCTATGGTATTAAAAAAATTGATTCTGATGAATTTCAACCACGCCAGTTTATTCTTTTGCATAACGAAGTTATAAGAGATGTTACATTTAATACATCTCAGCAATCATTACTGCTTAGTGTTGGTTTTGATAAATGTGCAAAATTACTAGATATTCAAAGCCATATTATCATGCATACTTATCAAACAGATTTTCCATTGTGGAGTTGCTGCTGGTCAGGCAATAATTCACATGTGTTTTTTGTGGGTGCACAGAATGGATCTATAACACAATTTGATATTAGACAAACTTCTAGTGCTGTAGAAATTTTAGATAATCCAGGCGACAGGTCACCAGTAGTTTCTCTAGCAACAGTGCCTTCTAATTCGGGTAGCAGTATTACTCAGGGTGGATTCATAGCATGTCATTTGAGTACCTGTTATGCTTATGAACAGAAAGATTCAAAATATTTACCTAAACAAATATTTCTTGAAGGTCCGTTTGTATTTGCGTGTTATGATGAAAAGAATAATCATACTTTAATATCTTCTCGACCAAACGTTAGACAACCTCATGCGAGACACATAGTGTGCACTCTAGAAAAAGGCAATGAGGAATCAATAATTTGTAATGTAGTACACACGTTCCACGCTGGTAATTCTCAACAATTATTATCTCGACCATGTTTCATAAATGTTGAAAATGATACATTAGTTGCTGCACACCAAGAATCTACTAGTAGTATATCATTATGGAGTACATCCACTGGAAAACAAGTAAATAGTCTCCCTGTTTCTGATCCTGTAGTAGATATGTGTGCAATTGATGTTACTAATAATTTATTCTTGGCAACGCTTTCTTCAAAAAAAGTTAGAATTTATAATCATGGATAACTATCATTGCTATAAAAATGAATAAAAATATCTTTTTCTTCATCCATGCATCATACATTTATAATGTGATAGTTACATGACATAACTACTAATATTGTACTTTTTTACATGCTATTTTAAACTATATGTTGACAAAAATAAGTAAACAAATACAAAATCTGAACTTAGAAATGTGAAGCATAAATTTTCTTATTAATGATAATACAAAAAACTTTCATATACATAATTTAAATTACGAAAAAATACTATAATAAATTCTAATTTTACCATTTTCTATTTAAAGATATACATATTTATTGCTAATCACTTATGCAATGAATATTTGTTATATAAATGTATTTTTCTACCACTTGTTTCAATAATTATCCTGGATACTATTCTAAAATAGATGATAATATTAAAATAATTATATGTTTATATGTCAAATAAGATAATTAATAATTAATTAAATTAATTAATAAATTTATTGAACTTGATAGATAATCTATACACTAAAATAAAAAAAATTTTATACAGGTATTCCTATTATTTTTATTGAAAAATGTCATTTATTGATATTTTTGAAGTATTAAATTACATTTAAAATCTATATAGATGCTGTAACCAATTCTTTTCATAAATTAATTCATGTGTAATCAATTTTTTAGATTTAATCATGATTATAAATCAAACAAACCAAATAGTATTATAATCTATTAGTACACCTCTAACACAGCCTCCGCATAAATTACTAGAAAATGTAAAAGAAAATTAAAAATTCCTATTTCAGCACTGCCAGGAATACAATATTGCTTAAATATATTAAGGAAAATCTATATAACTTGTAGGATAACACATATAATGCTATACAAATAGTCTTTTTGAACAAGTTTCAAATATATTCTACATGACCTGTTATCTTATTAATGACTTAAAAGTAATTAGTGTCTTAAATTATTTATAAACCGGCAATTTTCTCACAAATAATATAACTATAAATTTTATTAAATATTTCTAGTATAAAATTTTCTTGAAATTTCATAAGCTGGAAGTGTCAATATTACTTGGAAGTATCAGTATCATACTTTCTGATATCTTTTTACTACTGATTTTCAAGTTAGGTTTATTTTGAAAACCAAATTTACTTTGTACCATTATGCTTAATAATGTAATAAATGCATTTTTTAACGTGGAATGTACATCTCCAGCTTCGAGTACAAAACATCATGCATATGTAAAAAAAATATTTATAAATGACACAGTAAATTATAGATCACTGAAACATAACCCTTCACCAAAAATGTACAGAATTTAAATATCAACAGTATAGCATTTATGTTTATCATTCTTTTTACAAATCCCATTTAACGATAACAAGTTGGTATCTATTTCAGTAATGTACAATCAGATCTAATTAAGATAAACCTCTTTGTGGCTTAAAGAAATCTACAAGAAGCTAATGATAAAAGTATAAACTAATCATGGGTTTCATTTTAATGTAATGAAGCATATAAAGTATATTGATTTATAAAAACAAAACGAAAAATTTACTAAGTACTATTTCATGCAAATATTTTTTCATTGTAAAGCGAAAAGATATACTGAAAGACAATGACATAAACGGAAAGGAACGCCCAATAAGAAATTTAGAAATATACAATAATTTGTACAAAGAGATTTA